AATGAATCTTACAAAGGTGAACGTCCTAAGGTCAAGTATGCTGTTTCTCCGATTAAAGTTCACTACTTCACATACATCTTTTTAATGTAGGAGTCGTCAACGTGTGCTTCTAAACAGGATATATCTATGTTTAATCTACTTTAATTGTTAATTAAGAATAGGGACTTTCTAAAAAGCATTAAGTTTAAGTAATTTGTTCAATAACACGGATGCAGAGAGCGTGATAAACACGTTCATAATCCGTTTTAATTGCACACCATTCTCTAGCGAATAGATCGAGATTCGCTCTTGAAATTTTAACTAAGCGGTCCTCATCGGTATCTTATTTTGGCTCTTTAAAGGCCTATTTTATTGCCAAACGGAACCAATAGACAATTGGGGTGTTTCTGAGTGCTCTAAACTCAAAGGAACCCCCTTAAAAGGTAAGTAGGATGGCGACTGCACAGGACGTACTTCAACAGGTAATTATACACGGGAAGAGGTTTATGGACGGCGCCAACACCCACAAACTCTTGGCCTGTGACCCAGCCAGAGTACTCGCCCCCCTGAAAGTACTGATTTTCGCTTTCCAACACGATGCGACGCCTTATGGGTGGATCGCAAAATATCAAATGCAGGCGAAGTCCCAAAGGACGGTCGACTCCATATGGGAAATAAGGGGAAGCGTGCGCGTGTATAGGATGGGATAGGATCTTGTCACTTCACGAACAGTCACACCCATTATTGTAAAATGCCAGATGCCCGAAATACTAGCAGCGTGAATGGAAAATGCCACCCTCATTCCGTTTCCACATCCTTGTACGGTACGCAACTAGAAAAAAATCTAATCTAAATCATTTTAATATAAAAGAAACCATGCTTATAATAATAATAAATGATTTAATAACTTAGTTTTGAAGCACACCTCTTCATCCATCCTTTCTCATTTTAGATCTGCCCAGAAGATATTAAGATTTTTCCATTTAAAATAAGCGTCAACTTCATCTATCAACGACCAGTGACAAACAAACGATGCTGCAAATAATCATGCTGTTTTATATATAAAAGTAGGAAGCAAGAAAAAAAAAATTCACTGGCAAATTGGTAAATTGAGCAATGTTATAAAAGTAATACCTTTGCGTGATGGGTGGCATTTTTAAAACTCGGCAAGACAATTAGTTTCTCCTTGATCTCTCCTAACGCCACATCTCCTTTTACCAGTAGACAGCATAATTAACAATCCGACATCATCGACGTTTCGCTCATATATTACAAACACCAATTTACTGGTTAAATTATTCTTATTTGGTTCCACCGTCCTCTATCGTTTTTCCGGTTGATAGGGCATTTATAGAACCGGTACCAAACGTCCGGAAGAATGAAATGAACAGGAAAATGTTGGAATTCATCCAAAATGTGCGATTGCGTCGTGTTGTTTTTTTTTTTTCTTATTACTAGTTTTCTATTATTAATCACTGATAATCGGTAAGCAGTTTTGAATTATCGGAGCGATAACTTTTGTTTGAATGATGCCCAACCATTTGCTACGTAGTTCATCTGAACGAAATGTCTTTCGAGAATTTCTACCCGGAATCGATGGTTATCTATAATCTTTTTACTCCCCCGACAATGGTGGGTAGAGAAATCTTTAGAGGGGGTGTCTTACAATTTTTTTTTAATATCTGAGGAGCCCATCTTTACTGGAAGAGATGCAACTGCACCCCGCGCACCCCTAAATCCGCCCCTATCCCCGAAGGTTTATTAACATCCAATTTTTCACTTTTTAAGTAAGACTTTTATATTTTTCGAATATAAATGATTTAATTAATATCACACGAAACATCTTTGGCGACTTAATGTAAATATTACTTTAAAATATGCATCAAAAACCGCAGAGTATAATCCGTTTTCCATTAGATATAATCTTTTCTTAATCTCCTTTTTTTTTTCTTTTTCACTACCGACGCATTTAATTCCTTTCAACGTGTCAAAAAATCCCATTCGATCGAGTTAAAATTACACAAATCTTGAGAAAAACCTAACTTGAAATCGATTTAGAAAGGCAAAAAGATCGTTTTAAAGTAAAACGATCCGAATATTATTCTTTAAAATTTAATTCAATTAAATTTTTAAACTCTTATACTCCATTATCCCACCTCTTATCTGCTTTGGTTACTGGCATTCCCTCAAACGGGCATGTTTGTTTCTGCTTATATTCATCCTCGCAGCACTTTTGAATGTGTTTCTATGCCACTATCTCTCTAACCATATTATTTCTCATCCTTTACGATTCCAGTTTATGCATTGGTTTATACACCCGTACGCATCCCTAGAGTATTTTCTGTGGGGGTTCTGGCAGAAATGTGTGTTCTTAAATTCTAGAGGCGTGCTATTGACGTGCTCGGAACCTCAAATAAAAAATAAACAAAGAAAACACCAACTTGTTTTGGGGGTAAATATAACATATTCCTATTCTCTGAACGGGTAGATGCACCTCAAAGTGGCGTGTTTAACCGGTGAACTAAGGAAATCTATTGTTTCTTCTGGCGCCGACTGTAACTCAGAGAGGGTCTCTTATCGAGTGATTTTTTTTCCTTCTCCCTTTTGTCTTTTTGACAGAAATAGCCTGAATGTAACAGTCACTACATACATTGTTTCCACGTGCAATTTACTTCTCTTCACATAGTTAACTGCTTTGTCAACTGCATCCGATTTAAATGCTTCTCCTATTGTTATTTTCCTTATTGCATTCATCACTTTTTACACGTTTAATAATTAATTTATTTATTATCTTAAAAAAAGAATAGCGACTTTTCAAACGAATTTTAACAATTCTTTCCATAAAATAATTGAGTTTTATTTGTGGAGAGAGATTTTATTAGACAAATGGAAGCGATTATAACCCCACTTTTCAGAGAAGTTGATGATTTATAAGAGAAAATTTACGTTGATAGTTGGATAAATGATCCTTGATTACATAAGGATCTTCCTGGAGATTGAGTAAATGTCACTTAACAAAAGATTATCGATTATTTCTCTATTTGATTCGCCTGTTTAAGCATATTGAATACCGAAAATAGCTAGGATGCTTTCCTTATTAACCTGTTTATTTTCTTATTTACTTTAATAGAATACTTTCTCTAATGGAATCTGGTTGTTAACCTGTAGATACACATGAAAAATGTTTCCTAATCAATAATATTCTTTGTTATTAAATTTATTATAGACATAAAATAAAAAAAATCACATTTTTCAGACGTCAAAAATGGAGCAATTTTATGATGTCATTTCCGAGTTAATTAAGTCGACATTTCTGAATCTCATTTTATTTTTATTCTTACCTGAAAAACTGACTGTAATTTTCGAGGGGGATAAAGATTTGTATAGTTTTTGATCCAATATAGAAGGAGGGAATAGAAATTTTTGTTGATTGTAAATATCGTTGTCGCATCGTCCTCCATAAGTGTCTTTGTAAGAAATTGGAAAAGTGTAAAATATTTACGTTTGTATCGAACTAAATTCGCAATCTAGAACATATATATCCGGCCTACTTTACGAAGTAAATAACAATTTATTACTACTTTTTTTTCCTTATCCGGTAAAGTCTATAGTCATCTGGGTCCGACAACTAGTTCTTGTGACAGCTTTGTCACATTCTCAAGGGACGAACTGTCACTGGATGTATCCAACTAGCAACTGTCAATGTCTTCTATTCTACCCTCTCCAACTCTTATCGATGTATGGAGCTGTCTTGTTGCAACTTGGCTGATGTCTTACACAACAGTTTCTCAGCATGCACCCGATTGTCTTCTCGTTATATCTTCGTCTCTATACCCTCGAGACTTCTGAACTTTTTCTAAATTTTCTTTAAAGTTAAATCACTGTAACTATAAATCTATTTAAATTATAAATTTTATTTTAATTAATTATTTTTAAGCATTTCTTATTGTATTACCAGAGAAAAGCTCTATATTTGATCTGTTAACGTAGGCTGTAGATAATGGAAAATACAGAATAGTCTCCTTTTTTATATAGGAAAAATTGCTACCAATTTATCAGAAGAGAATTTTTTACCATTTTTGTAAAACGGATTTAAAATAAAATCAATTTTCAAAAAGAAATCTATACTTAACTCTAATATATTAGATCTACAGTTTAAACTGTAGATCCTATTGTAGGGAATATATATATAGTAAGGTGAATTTTGTTACATTGTCGAGCATGTAACTGGCTTTAGAAGATAATTACTATTATAATTATAGAACAATTACATTTTTTAAATAAAAAAGAATACAATTTATATAGCTTGGTTGTTTTAAGGAGGAAAATTGTCATCTCCTAGAACAATTCCTTTTTTTGGGGGGGAGCATCCATTCTATAAAGCAGCTACATTTCCCGAGTAAATTTCTATCGAAACTACAGAAGATTTTTTTGAAAATTTGTTATTTCTATAAGAAATTTGAAAGATGTCTTCCATACTTTTCCCATAAAGGAAAATACAATAGTCGTGTGTTTCTTATGGGGGAGGAATGGTAGCCATTTTTTTTTTTTGTAGGAAAGGTTTTTATGGAAGAAAATGGTTACCACGATTGCAAGGAAAGTAAAAACTTCAGTAATTTTAAAGCTTTTCAGGAAGAAAATTTGCTAAACTTAATCATTTTATACGACAAAAAAAGAATTATCAGTTATATAGATTTATTGATTATTCATCAAAGTAGATTTGACCAGGAGCATTAATTAACAGCCGCACTCGGAGTGTTTTTTTTACAATTAACAAAAATGATCCTTTCCATACCTAGCATATTAATTACGTAGCAATTATCTAAAATTTTGCACGCAGATCTACGCAGTTAAATTTAAAAAAAATTCGTTACGTTTTCCTGTATAAAACTGTAATTAAGACGAGTAAAATCATCTGGTGCTATTCTCAGCAATTATTCTATTAACATAAATTCTCGGTTCGACTTAATTAATGTTTCATTACATCCATAATGTATATATGTATGCATTTTTTCTTTCAGTGTAACAGTTCCAGGACATCAGGGAGCACTGGGGAGCAGCGTAGTTTATTCGTCATTGGGTCCATGGCAAGCGTTTGGGGTCGAGTTCGTTCTGACGTTCGTTGTCGTCTTCACAGTATTCGCCACTCTAGACCCCAATAGGAAATCTCTAGGCAGCGATTCTCTAGCTATTGGTATAGCCTATCTGGCTTGTTCCATCACAGGGGTGAGTAATCGTACATAAATCTTCTAAATTACTTAACAAACGTTTCCTCTATGGCCTCTACCAAATTAAATTTGTAAACCCTATTAACGTTCTATTTATTTTTAGTAAACTTAAAATACTTTCGACATTTTCTTTATTTTGTTTTTTTTTTAATCATTCATTCAACTAAAGCCCGATTCATTTTTAATAAATTTGTTATTTCCTTGTTAAAACTGTAATAAAGAAATAAAAATTACAGCGAGTTTAAACTCGTTTCTCCTTTAAAAAAAAGGTCTTTTTAGGGTTTCGTGTGTTAGTAAAGTTATATAAAAAATCGATTAGGGTGAGTTAGATTTTTACGTATTCGAAAAGTAAACATTTGTAATCGATTTTTCAACAAGTTTAGAAATTACAATCGATCTTATTGGATTCGTAATTCGGATACTTAACAGCGATTATGGGTTCGGTATCCAAGGATAGAATTGCGGAATTGATCCTGAAATTCCTGTTCGATTCCAAAGCTGTGTATCCTGCAAATGTTAGCTCTGATCCGATTCCCGATGGATTGATGTGATGTACTTTCCCTTACAATTTTCTTCGACTGTCAACTTGTTTATCCTATAATCCTTGATACGATCCAGATAAAATACCAATATTTATTTACTTTTTTTAAAGCTTTAACTCCCAATTAAATTATTTTAAACTAGAAAGTTTCTATTAAACTCTTCTTCAGTAGTCGAATAATTTTCTTCTTTAGAATGTTTCCCCCTGATGCAGATTTTAACTTTTAAACATTTATGTATATATACGAAAGTATTGTTATAATAATAATAAATTGTATTGCCGTCTTCTGTTAGAATTTAAATTAACAGATTCTTTGCATATTTGGCGATCATCATGCTGTGTTATATCGATCAAAGACGAGTTTTATGGAAAGATAAATTTCTATCAGTTATAGAATATCGTAGAAACCAACTACTTGTTGGAAAATCATAAATTCCTTTTATCGTGATGCCGGTGGTGACATCAACCTAGTCCTTGACAGTCTCGTTTCCATTGCTGACATTGCCATCTGCTACCCTTTCCGATTCTTCTTTAAAGATCACCAAAGCACTTAACTGTGCTTCACATTCCCACTTATAGAACCTTGTTAAAAACTTTATAATTAAATTTTGCTTTAAATTAAAAGAAAATTCAACTTTTCCTACACTTTCTTTTATTGATTTCTCGGTATACTAATATTTTATTTTAATTTTTAATTGTTTAAGTAGAAATGTAAAAGTTTTTGTCACGTTTACGTTGTTTCCTCTTACTATCCTATGCTATAAGACAACAAATTTTTTATAGATAAAAAATTTGTGCTGTTTGTGTTAAGGAAAAGTCGGAAAAATAAATAAATAAAATAAATTCTTACGAACTGATTCGCTGTAGATCAAGAGAAACGTGAGGTGAAGACCGAATCGCAGGGTGAACAGACAAGAAATGCGTGTTAAATTATTTGATAAAATTCGAATAATACGCAAAAATGAATATATTTTATGCGATTATATAATGTAATGTTCTCTAGAATGACCTGACCTTGGCAAGAACAGCACACGCCCTTTATACATCCCGCATCTTTCTAAAACTAACAAGTGTTTTCAAAGAGAACTCCCTTTGGAGTTTACTCTGTGTACTGTCTATGTGTACACTTCAAATACGTTTGTGTTCCTTCTCGCACAACTTAATCAACCATCTTCTACTGGTATCTAAAAAAAAAAAGTAAACTTTAAAAGTAATTTTATGTAGTTAGGAAACTGAAGAGAGGGAGATTGAACTGGATCAGTTGCGCTTTTTCTGGAACCGCGATACATAAAGATTCTATAACATTTGGTTTGTGTCATTTTAAAAGCTTTTCTATTTCTTTTCCATCACTTACATAGAAACATAGAAAGTATCAGGCATCATTGATTTTTCAAGCAAAGTCGTTCATGCTTAATGCACAGCTGGAACATTCGATCTCGCAGCGTTAACTGCATCTTGTCCCGTTTGAAAGAATTTACACGAACATAAACTCAATTTAGATCTTTAGATATCGAAAAAATAATTTACTATTAAAAAAAACATTATTTCGTATTAATTAAGGCAAGAATCTATCATTTAAATCCCTCGGAACCTGTTTAAAATGTATTAATTATGAAAATAATATCGTTATAGATGCCAGCGAGTGGCGCATCCATGAATCCTGCACGTTCGTTAGGGCCTGCATTTGTGATGAACCATTGGAATCACCACTGGGTAAGTAAATCCTCTCTGCATATATTTTGATAAGGTTTATCGTGTTAAAATCATTATTAAGAGCTAAAAAAAAGGGTCGTGTGAGATTTCTAAACAACTGAATTTTAATAAAAAATGCATATAAATAGCCGGTTGGGGAGTGATATATAGCTATACTAATGTATAATGAATACGTTGGAAGATTCCCTGGCATGCAAACTGTTTTAAAACCATTCCATTTGGAGATAGAATCTGTTTCTTCAAGCCTTGCACGTACGAACAACTACCTTTATTCTTTTCTTTATATATATATTTTAAGTTTTTAGTGTTTCCCACGTGGTAAGGAGTTTGAATATTTATCAGGACAAAAGAAAGGAAGTAGCAGTTTTGTTTAGAATCGATTCTCTCTTGAAATCTATCACAAATATATGCGGTTTAAGACTTATTTCTTTAAAATTTTTCACCCAAACAACCTGCTTATTTAAAAAAACATACAAAGCATATATAGGTGATGCCATCTACTGTTACTTTTTCTACTAAAAATTTCGATTATTATGTTGAAAGTTTTGCTTTGTTTACTTTTATTATTTAAATGTTGATATTTGAATTTTTGTAAAATTTTCATTATGTAAATTTTCCATTTACAGTAATGAAATGATTTTTTTTTCATTTTTTCTTTCGTTTTGCTGTTTTCTTTTTTGGCAGAGTTTTTCGAATTAAACATTTTCAGATAAATACATTTTCCCCTTCTTTCTCCTCCTCCTCCCTCTCCCTTTTTTTTTTTNCTTTTTTTTTTTTTTTTTTTTTATTCGTTACACGTTCTTTTATTAATGTAAAAATTATAAAATATGAAGTTGTTTTATAATAATAATAAATTTAAATTCGCAGTTAAAAAACTATTTTAAAAAAATCTTGAGTTGTATTTCAGACAGTAAAACCTGTCTAACGCGGAAACTCCTCGAAATAGAAAAGAAAAAAAACATTTGTTACAGCGCGAGTCCGGCTTACGCAGGTTTTACCTTTAAATCTTTGAATAGAAAAGTGTAAATAGAAAAACTTAACTTAATTTTTAAAAAAATATAATAAAAAATATTTCTGTTTTTACATCATTATTTTTAGTATTTTTCTTTTAAACTTGGAAAGAAAAATCCGAATTTGTTCTCTGATGCGTAATCGATAAAATCTGATTTTAAGAATACGTATGTTTATAAAAAAAATATATATATAATGTATATATTTAGAAGAATTTGATCATTTGTAGTCAAAGTATTATTATTTTTTTATCGTGATTATTATTATTATTGCTATTAGGTCTATTGGTTTGGACCTCTAACCGGAGGACCATTAGCTGGCCTCATCTACGAGTACATCTTCGACACAAAGAAAACTGCCAAAACTCTGAAAGAAGCTCTGGATGAGATTGACAGAGGTATTTATTTTATATTCCGAGAGATGTCATTTAAAAGGCATCATCATTGTCATTTTATCGGTTATTCGTTTATCACGTTGTTAAGAATTCCCTAGGCTTTTTAGATTTTTAAATTCTTTACAGAGGGAACCAGTAAATAAAAAAAAAAACAACACGCGTAAAAGAAGTTTAAACATTAATTCTCAAGTCTTAAAGACGAAGTTTTCGAGTGAAATATTTTTTTCTAGTGTCGTAAAATATTTTAAAATTAATTTAAAATTTAAATTTGTAGTTTATTCTTGAGAATAGGAGACGTAAAAGTTGCCATATTTAACTACCTTACATTGGAATTTAGGTATTCCAGACAGACTTTACTAGCTTTTGATGAAACTTTAGAGGTGTAATTTAGACAATTTTATATGTGAAAAATTCTTTTAGACGTTAGAAATGTCTAAATTTGGCAGAAGGGTAAAAGTTAAAGTCGTAGTAAGAAAAGGAAATCCATGTAAAAGCGCGTCTCAAAGGAGTAGTTTGGGAGTAACATCATTAGATTGAAGACTGGGATTGGCAGTTGTAAGTGATGACGTGACGGACGATCGAATATCTGCTAAACTTGTCACCATACGAATTCCATCACCGGGAACTATTTGCCAAACTGGGCTGTTAGTGGACTTTTTCCCCTTAGTATAACACCCGGGAATGCTCGATCTGTTTCCATTCGAGTTGTAGAACGTTCCCGTTGAGATTGAGTGAACCAAAAGCAAAATAGAGATTGAACGAAACGACTTTGCTTTATCTCTCGAGAAAAACTGGGATTACCGAATAGTTGCTTAGTCTCTTCAATACAGAAACGATTGCCTGGCGCTGTGGGACTGATAAATCGAGTCTATACGAGATAGAGTTTCGGTTAATAACGCTAAATTCTGAAAAAGAAATATATTTTTTGTAGAATCCAACACAGACGACGATTACGAAGATCCCGAAGCGAAAATCAACAAGTACAGCAACGCAAGTCAAGCACAAAGTGCCAGCAATTATAGCCGCCAACATTACGATAACTATCGACCAGCAGTCAACACTTACTCCCCTACACCATCATCTAATTATCCAGCATCTTCAGAATCCGTCTATGGATCCCATGGTGTTTCTTCTTCCAACTATGCCAGCGGCGTCTATGGTAGTAGATACGCCACTACCATGAGAACAGTTCCGAGCAGAATGGAATATGGACCAGGATCTACCAAATTCTAAGCAAACAATAATAATAATAATAAATCAAAGATGACGTCTCGACGTCAGCAGACAATCCCTTTGTAAAAAAAGTGTTATATTAATTGAGTTTTTTTAAGAAACATAAAGAAATCAAGGCACATTTCATCGCGATGACTTTTTTTCCTTATTTTTTTTTTTTAGTTCAGCACCAGCTAGTCAAAGTTGACACTAGCATCTCTACAAAGATAGAGGTGTTTGCTCTTGGTTTACGACATTTTATTTACATCCATATTCTCGAAACAATTCATGTCGATTGTTAGAATTATTTTATTATTATTTTTTTTTTGGAAAATGTATCGCTGCTAAAAATAAATCCGTCAATAAAATCGATTTGTCGGATGGACTTTTTGTCTTCTTTTTAACTTAAGAATTAAATTTCAACAGAGCATACTTGAAAGAAAGAGGGAGAAAAAAAAGAAATTTAACCTTTTCCAATCTTCTGAATAATCCTAAAGCGTGAAGCAAACAAGTTCGTAATTGTTATTGTGTGTTTCCACTCGCAAATGATTTATTTGCCAACATTTTAAATCTGTAATTAAACAGAAGAGTTCGAGCAATTAAGAGTTAAGATGACCAAGTTGTTCGCAACATTTCTACTCCCAAGTGTTTAATTGAGAAAGATGGTTAAATATTCTTGCGCGTCCTAACAGCTTCAAGAATAAACATATATAGGAGAAAATTCTGATATATTTTATCCATAAATTTATTTAAATTTTATTCATTTTGACTATATTTGCTATGATAACCATCGGCACCACGTGCATCGCCCATTACTCTTCTGTTTATAAAAGCTGCTAAATCTGGCGTATCTTATAAAGAAAACGACCCTTTTAAGGATTATTACCTCAGAAAAGATAGTTTTTAATTATTAAAATTTGGTTTAAAATAATAAAATTGTAAAGTTTTAAATCGATCAAACTCTTAATGTTACCGGTTTATCAGATATTTATTACTTGGAGTAAGATAGCGATGGCTTATTCATGGAGAGATGATGCAGTAAAGCTATCTAAAGTTATATATAATAATAATATAGAATTTTACGATCGATACAGCACGTTAAAATAGTATATTGATTCAGTTTATGAAAAAATATATCTTTCATCCTCTTCCATCTTCAAGTTCTTTCTTGTTTTTCCAGCGTTTAAGATAGAAAGATGAGGTTAAAAAATGCAATGACAAATTTGTATATTAATGCTGTTATATCTCTTGTATTATATAAACTTTCAGAATTTATTCCACAATATGATATCGACAGAAACGTTAATATGATTATGATTGGATTTCCAACTGGAGTTTATATAATTTGAGTATGCGAATTTCTATAGTAAATGAATGTTCTCGGATGGCAAACACTTCAACTAAATCTATTGAATTTAAATTACATAGAAAGTATGGAGAGATAAAATTGTTAAATTTATGATGTTACATTATATTATTTTGTTTTTATGGAATAATTTAAAAACGCCATTCTATTTTTAGAAAAGAAAAAGGTATATAGAGTTTCGAATTATAAAACATTGTCCTGGAGTTAAATGACCTATCAACGTTTTGTTTGCTGCATAGAGAAGATGAGTCATAGATTTCTGCTATTCTCGAAACTAGAGAATCAATCATTTAAAGTATATGGCGCGCTGTTTGTCTTTCCCAAATCGTAAAAACTAGCGCTTTCGACTTGAAAAGGTCTTATTTAGAAATATTTTTAAAGTCACTTCTTTGTAAAAAATAAGATTTTAACAGTAAACAGGAAGTATAAAGATATATATAATATAAAAACATTATTTCTTCATTGTTGGCTTGGGAAAAGAAGAAAGAAAGAAGACAGTAGAAAAATGGGATCGCTACTGCTCAATTTAAGTTGTAACAAGAAATCAAATAGCAAACTATGCTTCGTATAGATTTGTCAATCATCTTTTGATTGTCAAAGTCTCGAAGGATTTTTTTCCCTGTATAACTTAAAGGCATAGAAAGATGAGCTGCCTATCAATGCAAATAAACGCCATGATGCCAGAAAAGTGAAGTGGTTTGCCTGAGTATTATGGAAAATCCGACAGAGATATTTTTCCAAACAATCTATTCCTATTTGTAGAGAAAGGTAACATTATTCTTCAATTTTAGACGTATTGTTTATTTATGATAGATACATTCATACATATTTAAATATATGATATGCTAACTATGATAATAGGAAAATATCGATTTTGTTTCGTAGCTAGTCTAGTCGAAATGTATATTTTATCGATTAAAACCGGTTGTATTGACAAACCTCTCTCAAAATATGATTGATTCAATTGTTTCCATAGTAGACACGAGTCAAAACATATAAAACAGAAGCCATTGTTGGGCGATTTCAAATGCTTCCTGACGAAATTTTCAACGTTACGACAATGTTTTCTGTACCGTAACACAATGTTGTCACTTACTATATAAGCACTCCTACAATAATAATAATGTTACTCTGTTTCTCGTCTATTTATTTGTTGATGGTAAAACGTACAATAGAAATCCATTTAATGAATTAACTTGCGTATCGGCTGTGTCAACCAATATGGAGTTATTTGGCAGAGTGGAGAACTAAGTGCCAAGGCGTGGTCTATGTGTCATATTATTTTGAATTCAAATCCCTTTGGATCTTAACCCGCTAATGAATCATTTTTATCTCTCTTTCTATAGACTACAAATTAGTTATTTGGAATTTAATATACGACACTTGCGGCATTAATCCATTTTCTGGCGCCATACTAAATATTATATACTCGTAAAAAAGCAGGAAAAAATGTGTCAAATTTTAAAGAACAAAATGATTTTATATATTGGATACTTTTTAAAATTATTTGTAAAGAGTACGTGTGAAGGGATACGATATAACCAGAAGATATATTGCGCCATTTAATTTGACAAACAATTTATTATTATTATCCACATAAATTTTGCCTATAATTTAAATTATAATGAATATACGATGATGGCTTTCGGATAATAATCTATAATAGACTATCAAAACCAGATTTTAGTACGCATAAACGTTCTAAGTGATTGTTATAAAGAATTAATTCGATTATAAAAATACTCGTTTAAAGTGATAAATAATAGAAATTAAAGACATTTTTCTTTTAATATATATATTAAAAAAATAGTTTCCAAGTTAAAAAAAATTTTCCCGGACGAGAATCATACATTGTAAGTATAATTTCTTTCGTTGGAAGCTCATTAGTGGGAGGAAAAAACCCTGTGAAAAAAAATTCTAACCATTACAAATATCGATAAGAGGAGATTTGAAGCTTGAGTGCTAATCCTATTAAATTACGTTTTACAGTGCAATAAGGTATAAAAATTCAAATTAATGAATGAAGTATCTTCTATTAGCTGTCATTTTCCTTCGTGGATTATTATTTCATGATGGTTATAAAGGAAATTAGTTACATAGAAATGATTTTTATCAATTTTTCTTTGCGTCATTTTTGCATAGGTGCCAAGTGTAAAGAAAAGTATATTAATCTACGTACATTAAACTTTTATCTTACCAATCGATAGACATATGGCACAGGTCAGATTGAAGTGTAAAAAGTTCACTTAATTCTTCGAATACTCCACGAAAAACATCTTTGTTTACAGATTTCTGAAAGTGTGTAAAATTTTTTTAAAAATAAGTTCAATGTTTCCTTGTAGATAACAATAAAGTCGACATATTGAACAACGTTTTCAATTACATCTTATATATATAGCCTATATAGTATTGGAGTACTTGCATCGAGAACAAATTTTAATGCTGTTTTCTAACATAAAATACTGAAAGACAAAGTTTTTAAAACAATAACACAAGAAAAATAATACTTTCAGAATATCTATTTTGCATTACTTCGTCTCTTCTTTTCCTTGATGATAAGAAGATAAAACGAAAAGATGTTTTAAACATCGCGAATAGTTTGCTTTTTTATTTTATTTTTTATCTTCAAAAGGATCCTCTTATTGTCAAGATTAATTATTTAAAAAAATCATGTTTTTCACGACTTTTTCTGTTCTTTAATTTAAATTTAAAAATAGTCTATTCTTAGCATAGTTATTTTACATGATAAAAGAGTATTGCTAATAAACTTTTTATGCTACATCTCTTTTACTTCATAAAATTGATTCTTTATGCAATAACTTTATATTGTCTACCAGTGGATAAAACCACTGAACACTGCTGGTTTTATCCACACTGTGGTTGGTCACGTGGAATTTTCAGGGTTTTCTTCACGTGTCTAAATATCTAAATAGTGGCTAGTTTTCCATAGAAATTCCTCCCGGGAGGCAGATTGACCATGCGTTGCGTTGTCTTATCCCAACAAACTACACCTAAATGGAATACATTTATTCATTAAATGGTATTTTACTATAACGAACAGCGTCATAACTTCGTTGAACGCAGGCGAATTTGAATTAGGGGAGTTCTATGTACAGTGTTGATTTCAGACATTTTTCTTCGGGGGAATTTTTTTGGGAAATATTTTCTTTTTTGGTCGTAGGATAACGCGCCGCTGCTAAAGAAATTAGCAAAGTGCATTTTATAATACCGTTGTTATAGGTAAACGATATCGTCTGTTAGCTTTCAATATCAGGACGACATCTTTTCAGAATTGTACTTTATGGTAAAGTTGGCTTTTGTAAATCGAGCTTGGCATAGAACGTTACGGATAGACACTCCTTCAGAGTTTCAAAGGAGAAACTTCGATTTACGCTTTTATGCTGTATTTGTGAGAGAACGTGATATATCAGACTATCGATGCACTCAATTGAAAATAGCCATGCCGACTTCTGACTGGCATCTGTGGCAATAGCTACAGTTTGACAAAAGTTATATATAAAATGCGACAAAAATTATTATTGATATATCGTTTTTCCCTCTTTTCTATATAGAATTATATCTGGAAAAATAAAAAAAAAAGGAAATTGTTATATATCCAATAAAATTCCTCTTTCAATTTCATTTTCACGTATTTATAAATTGAAAAAGTGGTAGTAAATTGTTTTTTATTTACGGATTCGAATTTGCGCCTAGCCAATGGGCTGGACACGTGGTTTTCCGGCTTTTCCTCACTTAAACAGGAGCTAGCTTTCCATAGAAATTCCTCTCGGGATGCACTCCCCCTTGGTAGATCGTCCATACGTTGTGTTGCCTTATCCATTAATCGTACAATGTACGCGGAAAATGAAAGCGTAAATAATTATAATTTACAGTAAATGTTATATTAATAAAAATATCCTTCGATTTATATGATGTTTACCTAAAGGATTTAAAAATTTCGTTCTTCTATAATCAGAATTTTTTATTATTATTACGGTTATAATAACCGGACTACATGC